TGTGTGTGTGTGTGTGTGTGTGCGTGGGTGGGTGTGTGGGTGTGTGTATCCACAAATGTGACCATTAGCGGAAAATAATTTTTAATTCTTGCTTTTCAATTCTGCAGATAATTCAGTTTTGTTGACTTCTTTTGTAGGTACATTCAGCTAGAGATGGTTAACGCTACTTTTTATAAATACAATACGGTGTTTTCTAAAAGAACAGGAGAATATTTTATTTTGAATGAAAAATATGCCATCCGTTTTATAGGAACCAAATCTTGGTATTTTTTTTAAAAACAAGGCACAAATATTGTGTACTGATACTTTGGGCTCATATACGTAATGTAGAGAAATGATCATCAAATAATAAATTTGGAAATACTGTGTTATGAGTATATTATTTTCTCGAAACTGATAAAAACTATCGTGATTGGGTACAAACTACAAATTTCTATTTAAAAAAATGCATAAAAATATAGTAAATTTTTACGAACCCGAAAAGAGAATACTTAGGAATAAATTATTTAAAAGCGAAACTTTTCATAATTACGCTTAAAAGCATGTATAAACTCCTAATACATTATTCTTCAAAGAATTATTAATAGTAGTATAACATTCGCAAGTCTTTCCTTATGTGTTCATAATTTATAAAGGCAAACTCCACTTCCAAATGCTCCCTGCTTGGATCTGTGGCCGTAGGGACTTCCCCTGGAGGTTCAGTTGAGGATGTTACCCCGAGTTTATTCGACCGGCTCGTTTCGAGGCCAACTTTCCCGCGCCTAAAAATGCCTCAGAGGGGGAGAATTGTGCGTTATAACTTTGCTGGATTGTAGCGGGTTGTTTCCTCAACTTTAGTGAACGTAAAGAGAGAGGGGACGTTGGAAACACAGTGGCTTCTACTTGGGAAGGCAGCTACAACTACTTTTGCAGGGGAAATATCAGGTATTTAAACATTTTTTCAAGACTTACAGTAGCAGTCTTGATGGGACGTGGCTGTGCAGAAAGATTGTTCCTCTCTTCAAGTTCGGGGTTAAGGTTTTTGTTATTGATTGATTATTTCTTCGACTGCTCCCTCTTTCTTCGACGCTTCGAACTTTTAGACGGAAACCTAATTTAAGTGTCCGCTATTCCTATTTATTTTAAATCCAAATAATTACCTAGGTTAAGAGGGCAAGTTAAAGTACACAA